GCTAAGGAAAAACATGGGAAAAAATTCCTCTTCATTGATTATTATCTTCTGCTTAACTTCAAATTCTAGCTCTGAATGGGAGACTAAACTTTAAAGTTTTCATATGCAACTGAATGTTTTGCTTTTTAAATTATAAATGTGTTCTGTGAATTAAAGTAACTTCATTTTTAAGTCTTCGAGTAGTCAGAGTCTAGGTAGAGGCTTGATTCCAGCCACTGAAATGATGTTTTGTTTGCTTCCTACAGTTATTCTTACCAGTTCTCAAAAACTGAGCATTTTAGAACAAGAGATTTATTTTCTGACACTTAGAGGGTAGATGTCCAAGGCCAAGGAATTAAAAGCATCAAACTCTCTGAAGTCTCCAGGACAATCTATGCCATACCCTTTTCTAAGCAACGACACACAGAGTGAGCACCATATGCTCAGGGAGGACAGACAGGCGTGAAGCATGTATGAATTGAGTCATGCCAAGCTTAGAGAACGGTATGGAGTAGAATGTCCTGGAGTGAGAATAATGGGGGCATTGTGTCCAGGAAGGGAGGGAGGCCAGGTGGGAGAAAAAAGAGTAGAGATGAATGAATCTCAGGAGGCTAGGAAACCTAGAGGGAAAAGTGATGCCCTAGAAACCCAATGAGAAATGCACGTAGAGAGTCTGAACATTAATGTGTATGTATACCTAAGAGCTGCTTGGAAGGGAATGCAGTGTGAGATAGAAGAGACACCCCTTAGAGCGAATAACATGCTGTACAGCACTCATCAAAGAAACTTCTTTTTTGCAACAGATAGAGGCTACCACAGAGTTGCATAATCTGGTCAGGCATAGAGAACACATACCTGGCAGATGCCCGATGCTAGGTGACACATCTAAAGTCAAATTCCTGCAATGAAGGCTCAAGGAACAGAGTGGAATAAGGGATAGAGAGGGGGCTAATGCACCCATCAACTCACCAGTGAGGCTTTCATGTACATCAGAGTGTGATACACACAGAAGGCCTCAACTGGCCACGTTTTGGAGAATAAGAGACTGTAGGGTATAGGATGAGACTCCTATATGGAACCACAGCCACCCACAGCTCAGGGACCATTGCAGATGAGGAGGTGGAAAGATTACAAGAGCCAGGATCGTTCATGAATGGATGAGGTGGAGGCTTCCAGGCCAATGGAGGCTTGCTCATGTGTGCCTGCAGCAGAGGTGGCATCCAATGTAGGACAATTAAACAAGGGCCCAAAGGGGAGGTGAGAAATAGGTGGTGGGTCAGTGCTAAATGGAAACCTCTTTGAGACTGGTTGCTGATGGGTGAGGGAGATTATGACTTGTATATGACCACTGGATGAGCTGACTAGACTCCAGTGGATGCATTTACACTGAAGGACATTTGGGTACAAACACCTGAATGAATAGGACTTAGCATGTATGGCAGAGTGCAAAGGGTTCAGTGCATAGGGGGATGTGTGTCGGGGGAGGGGGTCTGGATGTGAGTAAATATTGTATGAAATTTTAAAAGCTCAATAAAAAAGTAAAAAATAAAAAATAAAACAAACAGATTTCATTTCCAAACCAGATCACATTCAGAAGTATCAAGGTAGATGGTTAACATATCTTTTGGGCCAGGTGTGATGGCTCGAGACTTTAATCCCAGTATTCAGGAGACAGAGGCAGGAAGATCTCTGTGAGTTCAAGGCCAGCTGGTGCTACAGGGAGACCCTGCCTAAAAAAGACTAAAATACAAACAAACAAACAAACAAATCTTTTTGGAATAAGGTATATTTTAAAACTACAACAGATATACAGTTTTTGATCTATCTGGTGCTTACACCTGGAGTTACGGATTTCTGATTGAAACAAAGTCCTTTTCTAGTTTTATTTCTAATATACACTGTATGTATTCAAAAAAGACAGAATGAGCTTCCAAGTCTAAAATATTTTTGTGTGATGTGATGTGTTTATGATTTTTGACAGTATGTGTGTGGTATGGTATGTGAGTGTATGTTTGTGTGTGTAGGGTGTGTATACATATATGTGATGTGATATGTGTGTTTATGTGATGTGATATGTGAGTGAATGTAATGTAATGTGTGTGATGTGATGAGTGTGTGTGTGCACAAGTGTGCATGCATGGGAGAAGATGAAGGCATGTGTATGCCATGGCATGCTTGTAGAGGTCAGAGGACAACATTCGCATGTCTGACCCCTCCCCACCTGAGACGGTTCCTTTCTCTGCCGAAGCCAAAGACAAAATGGCATTATGAATGCTTGCACTGGTGCATCTTGCTTCCTGTATGGGTTCTGGGCATCCAAACTCAGGTCTTTCCAGTTCATGTCAAGTGCCTTTTTGATCCACTAACCTGTCCCCTCAGTGCTAAAATAATATTTCTTGATCTGTCGTTAGGAGCGTTTCTGTTACTGGAAATGGTTGTATTTTGCTGGTTTTCATTCCAACGTTGCCTTCTGTTTTTCTTTAGACACGCTATGAGCATACTAAAAGAAATTGAGACCATGTACTTTGTGTACCACGGTGGGGGATGTTTATGGTATTCTAGCCCTTTGTAATTTTTATACTTGTAGTTACTTAAATGCATTTTTTCTTTCTTTCCTGAAATTTTGAACCTGCCTGTGTTAGTTTCTTACCACTGTAAGATAATACATTAGACAGTTAACTTATAAGAAAGAAAAGGTTTATCTTGCTTCACAGTTCTGGAAGTAGCAGTCCCAGCTAATGTGGCTCATAGCCTTTTGCCTCTCACAAGTGCAACACACCATGGCTGGAACGTGACTGTCACAAACACCTCATGAACCAGGAGACAAAGAGAAAGTGGAAGAGCAAAAAGGAAGACCAAGAGTTCCTTGGTCTTTTGGGGGGTACACCCCAATGTTCTAAGAACTGTCTACTAGACCCCACTTTCTAAAAAGCTTCATCACCTCCCCATGGCACCAGCCTGGTAACAAAGACTTCCACACATGGACTTTCAGAGATGGACATACAGCACCCAAACTATGATTGTGGTTGTAGGTTTAGTTTTTCAAAGACTTTCGTTTTGTGAAATGTTGATAGAAGAAACTGATTTGCCATCTCCGTGTACTGATTTTTTTGGGTTATTTTTAAAATACTCTTTCTCATGGCCCCATATTTAATTTCCTCAGATTATTCTTTCAACATATTCTGTAAATTCAATACATTGTGTATTATTTAATGATAACGTGTTTACCAATTTCTTGACATAACTGTCCATAGATTTGTTTCTGTAATTAAATTGCACTTGTATTTAGTTTCTTTTTGTTCATTACAGTTTTTCTTAAGTATGTCAGGTCCTGGCTTGCAATAGATGTTTTGGGGGTAGAATTGGCTGTCCACAAGAGCAGACAAGGTCCAAATTCTTTAAGTGAATCTTGAAGCATAGCACAGTGTTGGGGGCTTCTTCAGTGGAAAATCTTAATTAAAATCAAGAGGAGCATCTGCAATGGCACAGTTGATAGCTTACAAATCGCCCTCCAAAAAGACTTTTCAATCATTTTTACCTATTTGCCAAAGTCTTAAATTGACTATTTCCTTAGCTATCACTGAGGGATTTTGAAATTTATTTATTTTTATTTTATGTGTATAAGTGTTTTGCTTGCATGTGCACCCATGTCATGAAATGCCCATAAAGGCCAGAAGAGGGCATTGGAACCCCTGGAACTAGAATTTGCATTGTTGTTATCTGCCATGTGGGTGTGGGGAACCAAATTTTGGTCCTCTCCAAGAGTAGCCAGTTCTCTTAACAACTGAGCCAGCTCTACAGCCCCATATCACAAAGTTTGGTTAATTAATAATGAAATTAAGTTATATCCAGCATGTGAGAATTTAATCATTCTACCATGCTTCTCACTAGGATGTTCTCAATGAGGCAGTAAGACTCCTAATCAAAAACTTGCTAATAATCCTAATAACTATGTTGATAATTATACTAGCTAGCACTTATTAGTGCTTATTTTATTCTGTCCTTTGCCCTTTATATGTATTTATCTCACTTCATCATTATACTAACTCTATGAAATGGGACAAATGCTCAGTCCTATATTACAAATGGAAAACAAAGTCACACAGAGCATAATTCACGTACCCAAGTCCTTACAGCTGGTATGATGCTGTAGTGATTGCCGTTACACGATTATTCTTGTAATGGGTGATATTGCTGATTATTCAACTTTACTTTTAACTGTTAACATTCCTTCAGTCAAATAGCTTCTTAAGGAGTAAATTTAAAATTCTTACCTGCCTATGTGACAGCTCTTTCTGGAAAGCTATTGCTCAGACTTGAATTTCTTATCCTCCAATCTGAACATTCAGATAATGATCCAGTAAAATCTTTTATGGGATACTCCTCAGGATTGTTATATGCTCAGGGAGGGAATAAGATATATTTTCACAACTTCTGACTTCTATAAAGTACTTTTCTCCTCGTCTGCAGCACAGAAAAGCTTTAAAATTGCATCTCATAAGAAGAGCAATCTGCAATTATTTACAGAGTCATCTCACAATATCTCATCTTATGATTTCTGTGGAAAGACCCAGAATTTCATGAATATTTTAAAGCCCATACTCACTAGGAGAGGGAGGAAAGTGAGTTTAGATAATTGCAAATTCCATTTCAGTCTGTTGTATTCCAAGAAAATGTTTGGTCCCAACATGGTTTACATCTTGTCTTTTGAAATGGTGGAAGCTAATGCTTTTCCTTGCCAAGTGCAAATCTTGTTCCCATGTGAGGAAAGAACCAAAACAAACAGGGCTGAGGATCTGCCACAGCCACCCATGTTCTCAGCTGCAGGGGAGAGAGGACCTTTTGGGAAATTATTTGGCATTTAAAGCGAGTGGCTCCTGAGGCAGCTGGTGAATGGAGCTGAATATTGTGTTAAATGATTTCCTTCTCTGACCTTTATTACTAATGAATCTTCTTTAAGGAGCATTTAAAGAGTAAAAAGAAAGGTTGTTTTTATTAATCTTCTCTTTCTTTGCCCACAGAACGCAAAGAAATGGTGTCACCTGGCAGGAGCTCTGTGCTGTTTTATGAAAAGTCAGACCAAGGTAGCATTACTTATTTTGAATTGATATTTTCACAGTCTTTTAAATACATGAAACTATTGACTTTCTTTGATGACTTTTTTTTACTCACATGTTTAAGATCCCTGTTTTATGTTTCTTGAATAATGTACAAATAAAAACTCAAGGGAGTAGCAGTGTAACTAAAAATTCCAATAAGCCAACAGGAGGCAAATTTCATTCTATACTGACCATTAAGAGGCACAAAACATTCCTGTTGGCCTTTCTTTTCAAATTTTGCCATGGTTCTCTGGCAAGAAGCAGTACTCAGACCCTGGTTCTCAAACATTTGAGTTCATAAACACCACTCAGGTGTGGAGCGTGGCCCCCTCAGTGTCTGATCTCTCACCAACGAAGCTGAGGAACCTGACTATCTAACAAGAACCCCAGTGGTTTCGAATTCTATTGTCCCATGCAAGCTTATTACTACTGTTTGGAAATCCAGTCAGGAACATTGTTTCCTCATCTTTCATATCTGTAAAAGTCAGTCAACCAGACCAATGCTCTCTTGAGGACTGAGAGCCTTAAGTCCTAGCAATCTATGATGGACCCGGATGTAGAAGTCATTTCAGCTAGGAAATTAGTCTTCTTGCCAGGTGTAGTTTCTTCAGGTCTCTGGGTCTCTGTCTTCTCATCCCCTTTGACAACATGTGTTGCTCCCAGTTCAACATGCTTTGCTGTCAGTTCAGTTCCTGGGACATCTGAATAGCATTCTGATACTGACATCCAGAGTAACTAAAGTGGGAGTTTTTCTCATGCAAGGAAGCTTGTAAAACTCTTGGGAGGAGATGCATGTTTGTGATCTGTGCTGAGAACAGCTTGGTTAGGAAATGGCAGCCCCATTTCTACCTACCCACACATTAGCAGACTCCATATCCTAGGGTATAGCTCAATAGGAGGTTTTAACATGGGTTGAACTTAAAGAATAAGAGCTTGATTTTCTGGAGAACTTCTTGGAGGTGATGGATATTTGCATGCAATTCACAGTGTAGACACTTAACAAAAGAGGGCGTTCTTCCAGTGATCCCTGAAATCTTGGGAAAGAAAGTAACAGACAAAGGGGTCAATGCAGCTGTTGAGGGTGGACTGGCTCCGGTTTCTGCTTTTAATCAGGAAATAATGTACCACAAGCAGGTTACTAGGAGTGACTGGTTTTAAACATTGAATGAGTCATCAAAAAAGTAAATTAGTATTTGAAAAGTAGAAGGAAATTATTTGTGATGATCACCATATTTATAAATGAATGGCAAAATTTTAAATATAGAACAGGTTATGAAAAAATTGTAGATGATCATTAACTTTTGATATGGCTTTTTCATTTATGTTAACATGTGAACAGGATTTTGAGAAGTTGGTAGTTTTTAAAATAACAACTCCACTCTTTATAAGTGACAGGCACTAAAAGAATGAGGTTTTTGTCAGAATATAGTGACGAGAGTTTTCCTTTTATTTAAGCATTAGTCAGAAGGTTTTACATACTGTTTTTTGAATATGAGAAAACATTTCAATAGAAATTTCTAGAAAACTTCATCAAGTTTTATGAAGACACTATCATATCAAATTCATATTTTCTCTGGAAAGACTGAATTATATCATACAGTTGTTGAATAGCATGTCTGATTATGCTTAACAGATTGCATATTTAGTTGCTAAATTTCCAAATTACTGTGTGATTTATTTACATATGTTGTCCTAAAAATATGAAAACTCATGCAAATATTCTAATGGTATATTCATGAAAACAAACAGTATAGATGAAGATATATAAAATGTATGTGTTTTACGAATAAAGCTTTTTATAGTAAAACACTTTACAGAAAAATTTCAGACAAGTTAGAATTGTGAAAGGATCTAGACACATCTGTTGTCTGTTGTGTGCAATATCCTTATAGAGCTATTTCCTCACTCTGTGTGTGAATATGTAATATGTTAGATATATGTACATATTAGTTGAAATATATAGCTGCATATTAATTTAGAATGACTTTTATTTTTAAAATATTTTATTTTAGGTGTATAAGTGTATTGCCTACATGTATATATGTACACCCATGTTGTGCAATACCCGAAGTCAGAAGAGGGTGTCAGATCCTCTGGAACTGGAATTATGAATGGTTGTAGGCTGCCATGAGGATGCAGGGAACCAAACTCAGGTCCTCTACAAGAGCAGTCGATGCTTTCAACCACTGAAACTTCTTTCCAGTTCCTGGTTTTTATTTTTGATTAATTATTGAATCCCCCAAACACAAATGAAGATTGAAATATAGGATTTTAAATTTAATGGACAACAGTATAAATTTTGTTTCTGAGCTTTGGTTTTGAGTTGATCCAAAATAAATTGTTAAACTGCATTGTGGATGGATGTGTTTCTACTTATTTTGGGGTTTTATTAATTCTTCAAAGGAGATGTAAACTCCTTAAGAAAACTGTTTTCCAAGGGGATATTTAAATTGTAGATCTTTTATCCAAGGGTCATCAGCACTAAAGTGTTAATTCGAAACTTAAAAATTGGGCTGGAGAGAGACAGCTTAGCAGTAAAGAACCTGCACTACTCTTGCAGAAAAATTGAATTCAGTTCCCACCACTCTCAGGTGGCTCAACTGCCTATAAATCCAGCTCCAGTAGATCCAACTCTCTCACGTGGTGTTGTGGTGTTGAGGGGCATTGCACTCACATACTGGAAAACATGTAGTTAAAAATAAAAATAAAATCTTTTATATTTTTTGAGGCAGGGCTTCCATGTAGTCCCAGCTGGCCTGGAACTCACTATGTAGACCAGTCTGTCCTTGATCTCACAGAGATCTGCTGCCTTGTGTCCCGAATGCTGGGATTAAAGGCATGCTCCATCATGTCTGGCTAAAATATTTTTTAAAAAATTAAAAAATTTAGCCTTGGAATGATCCCTAAGGCTCAGGGATCATTGGGTAAGAGGGATGAAAGAATGTAACAGCTGGAGAATGGGGTTAAGTCTTATGAAATGCGGACCTCTGGACATGACATGAGCTAATAGAAGCTATAGTTACCCCACAAAATCAAGATAAATAAAATTTCAAATGTGGAGAAGGAATGGGGCTCCTGGGACAATACCCCCAACTGAGGCACTATTAGCATTTGATGAGTGTTGGGAGAGCATGAGTCAGCTTTCTTAAGGAATGTTCCTACTGATAGGCTGACCATGCTACAGTAGATGGTCCTACAGCTATGCATACACTGGTGGCACTAAGTAGACTAGTGTGTTTAAAAAAGTGCATGATTGGGAGGGAAAAGTGATGGGGGAGATAGGAGAAGCTGGAGTGAAGGAGTGGAGTGTGGAAATAACCTCAAAAGCTTTAAAAATTAGTGAAATCACTTGATGGTTGCTTTTTGCAGAGTGTGAGTAACTATGAGTCCCTGAAGAGGGGATACCCAGAGAATATTGGGGAGAAGCTGAAGTTAAACTGAGTGATTCTGAGCTGAGTGAGAGGTTGTAGGGAGATGAGCAGTAGACAAATGCTTGTGGAAGGGGAGTCAGTGGATGATGGAGCAGTCGGGAAAGAGAAACACAGGGACTGGGTGGGGAAGCAGCAAGGAGGGTGTGGATCCATACGAGTCAGGATGAAAATACAGGAGGAGGGAAGAACACACTTTCCAGGACACAGTCATTTGATTGCCTTTTGGTCATTGTTTCTCAGAGGTCCTTACATACTAATATATTCGATTTATTAACTGTACTTGATTATTCAAGATGTGTAAGCTTATTAGAGTGAATGCAGTTGAGGAAGAGCTAGGATTAGGGAGGAAAATCCTCTTATTATGGCAATTTTTTTAACTTTTGAAAAAACACTTTATTGAGAATTTCCTACATGCATATAAGGTGTGGTTATCATGTCCATGCCCACTCCCTCCCCTCCAACACCTCCCATATTTCCCCACCACTTTTTCTGACAACTTCATGTTTTCTTTTTCTTTCTTTCTGTTGGGGACTCCTGCTGTGTAAAGTAGCAGTTTCTCCATGTCCGGAAAGCCCACGGGCTCGGATTCAAATGCAGAGACTCCTTTTTCAGCAGGATGCTTCCCTGGCATCTTCCTGACTCGTCTTTTGAAGTAGCCGCCACAGAAACAGGGCCTCCAGCTCTGGAAACTGCCAGCCTTTCCTGTGTGATTTTTCAGGCAGTCTGGCAGCCTGGCAGGAGCTTACAGCCACATGTAAATGGGGCATCCTAAAAGCACCTATCAGCTAAGGTTTTTACTACCACCCCCATGGTATAAATATCCTGGTTTCCCCCCAATTAATTGGAGCTGGATCACCGGGACTTGGAGCCGAGCAGAGTCACTGAATAAAGAGCTGTAACACGGACTAAGCTGAGTTCTGTGTCTTACTGCCTACGATCCAGCCTCCCCAGGGGGTGCTATCCTTCCGTCATCGACTCACGGAACCCTAGCTTTCGCCGCCCTGTACCTCTCCTCGTGACCCAGCAGCTGACGGGCCCCGAACTTAGAGAGAGAGTGCATGGGTGAAATTGGGGCGGAACTCGACCGGGCCAGCCTCGGTAACAGAGACCCACAGCAATGCGGTGTGGGACCCGCGTGCACCCCAGCGGCATGTGGGAGACCGGCACCACGCCCAGCAGCTGGCGCCCCGAGATCCCAGTGCACCCCTTTCTTTCTTTCTTTCTTTCTTTCTTTCTTTCTTTCTTTCTTCTTCCTAAATGGGGCTTTTTGCTACTTTAATATTACCTCTCTAAAGAGGTAACCCTAAACTCTTTTAGGGATTAGATAAGAGCTTCCAAATACTTTTCTCATTTTTGGCCTTTGGGACAGAGTATGTTGCTAAGAGGCCCAAGGACATTTTGATTTTTAGCCATGAAACTGGCTACTTTTCTTTGGGGTCTTTTTTACCCTGACTGACTAGCCAATTCCTACTTCTTATTCTTATCACACCATCCTCTGAAGAGGTTACCCAGATTGCTGATAGGGAATAGGGACACAGACCTCTCTGGCTTCTT